ATGTGGGGCTGCTTTTATGTGGTTTAGAAACTACAGCTAATACAAAAAAAATGCAGTAATATAAAATAGAGGTTACCAGAGCATGGACTATTTTCTGTCTCTTAAATATTTCAGTGAAGCTAACCAAAACCATTTCAAGTGACCAAAGTGATAGAATTTCCACGGACAAGAATAGATCAAAGAATATTCCTAAGATGCATGCCTTCTTTTTCCATGGGAGTACAACATCCTCCAGACCATGCTATGTGTCACATTCCCCATCCATAAAACCTTCAGTTATGTCAGTGGTTCTCAACCTTTTTAATGCCGCAACCCCAACCGGTCATAAGTCGAGGACTAAACCGGTCGTAAGTCGAGGACTACCCAACCGGTCGTAAGTCGAGGACTTTCCCTGCCCGGGAGCGCTGCACATGCGTGGTTCCGCCCCCTGTGCCGGCCGAGGCATAGCTGGCAAGCGGCAGAGATGGAGCAGGCCGACCACCAGCTGGCCCAGCTCAAGGGAGGTAAGGCACCCGCCGGAAAAGGGGGAAAATGGCGGACAAAAAAATGGCGGACAGCCTTGCTTGGCGACCCCCGTGAAATGGTTGATCGACCCCAAATGGGGTCCCGACCCACAGGTTGAGAACCACTGAGTTATGTGAACTTCACCTTCATCACAATAATTATATTAGGTTGAAGTACCTGTACCTCTATTCTGATCTTTTCTCCTTCCCCCCAGCAAACTGAAGAGGTTACAGTACTTCAGGTTTTGGCTATTAAAACAGTTTGATTCCATTGTTTTTCTCTTTAGGATTTTCGTCCATGGACTCTTTCCTAGGTTCTCTCTGGATTTGTTAAAATCAGCTCTTTTGAAGTTTAAGACTCTGGTTGGATTATTTTCTATTGTTTGTGTTTGCATTATATTGAATTTCAGCATGACCTGGTCACTTTCACCCAAGGCTCCGGTAACTTCAACTCCCTCTATCACTTCTTCTTGATTAGTAAGGATTAAGTCCAGTATAGCTTTACTTCTAGTTCCCTCCTCTACCTTTTGGATGACAAAGTTGTCGGCTAGGTTGGTTAAGGATCTGTTTGATCTCCCACTCACTGCAGAGTTTGTCTCCGAGTTAATATCTGGATAGTTGAAGTCTCCCATTATTACTGTAGTTTGCTTCCTGCATACATTTGTTAACAAGAGCTCATCTATTTCTTCTGATTGGTTGGGTGGACTGTAATATACTTACAATATTACTTCAGCTTTCCTTTGCTTTACAGATCTGAAAAGGTCGTAAATGCAAGTATTGATCACATAGTTACTTTTTCACCACAGTTGTAACTGTGAATGGTCAGTAAATGAGGACTATCAGTAGATGCTACGGCCATCTCAAGTCTGGTTGGAAATGAATAGAATCACTCTAGCCCCTACCAATATTTGAGAGATCTGGGAGGTCAACCACTGAAAATGGATAATTTGGGGGCACTAACAGCCGGGGAAAATACTCAACTATGCCAGAGCTGTTCCATTTGTTGCCAGTAATTTTCAGTATAAAGGTAATATAACTGAAATAATATTAAGTCCCTAAATTGAATTAATGATAAATAGTTTCTGATATATTATTCATAGTCACACATGCTGGGATACCCTTCAAACAACATTTCCCAGAAAAAAAGTTTTGTATTGCATTTTGCCAATTGAGGACCTGTGTATAGGTAACATACATAGAGAGATATAAACATAGATCATAATCTTAACACAGCAATCCCATTCTATTTATTGCAACATTATATTTACATAATTTTAATGGGAACTAAGTGGGAAGTGACAAACATTCAAATTAACAGATTAGAAAGATGAATAACACTAGCATAACAAGAAACTGAAATATTCTTTGTCTCTTTCACTTGTTCCTCCTCTAACTCCCTATGTAGTAGGTAACTATACATTTTTATATCCATTTTTCTTCCGTTCCCGTGAGTATTTCATCTAACTCTGTTGTCCCCAAATTAAAACCATCTATTTTAACGTCTTTTTCATATCTAGATTGTATTTGCGTTCTCATGTACCAATCCATCTTTATTCCTTGTTCCTCTAATTGTTGTTTGGTTTTCAGCTCCCCCGTATCTGTTAGTAAGTCTTTATATCATAATATTTCCCATATTAAGCATATTGGGGTGTATTAGCGCTTCCATAGTTGAGAGCCAATTTGGAATCTTCAAATAATGCTTTCTCTTTATTTTCTCCCAGACCACAAGTAAAGAATTCCTTATATGGTGTCTCTGGAAATAGCTATGTATTCTATTTTTCCCATACCATATGAAAGCGTGCCATCCCAGCTACAAGTCATGTCCCTCTAATGTCAATAATCTTGTATTCCTCAGTAAGATCCATTCTCTCATCCATGATAATGCTGCAGCCTGGTAATACAATTCCCAATTAGGTAGACCAAACCCACCTCTAAGTCTTGTATCTTGTAACATTTTTAGATTAATCCTTGCCTTTTTTCCCTGCCAAATATACTTCAAGGTTATTTTATTAAGCCCTTTGAAATATTTCTTATCCAATCTTATTGGTACTGTTGAAAACAAAAACAATCATCGTGGTAATATATTCATTTTGATTATCGCAATCCTTCCCATTAATGATAGTTGTACATTTTTCCATTTATCCAAATCTACTTCGATTTGTCTTTTCAATTTGTGATAATTATCCTCTTTAATTGTTGTACATCTTGCTGTCAGGTGGATCCATAGATATTTTACCTTCTTTACAATCTGTATATCTAATTTTCCCATCAATTCTTTTTTTTGTTTTTCAGTAATATTTTTCACTAACATTTTTGTTTTATCTTTATTAATCTTCAACCCCGCTACCTCACCATATTTTTCTATTTGTTCTATTAATACAGGTCCTGTCTCTAATGGTTCCTCCAAGATAAATACTAAGTCAGTGGTGGCGAACCTATGGCACGGGTGCCAGAGGCGGCACTCACAGCCCTCTCTGTGGGCACGCACTCCATCGCCCCAGTCCTAGGCCTTCAGCTAGGTTTTATAAAACCTTTTCGCTTTAGGCCTCCGCTGCCGTGTACAAAAAAAAAAGGTTCAATCAGTCAATTTCAACTTCTCGTGGGGAAAAAAAGATCTTGCAAAGTTGGAATTGATTGATTGAACTTTTTAGTCCCACCCAGTCTGCTGTTACCACCACAGCCACGCCCACCCAATGGGCCACGCCCACCCAATGGGCCACACGGATTTTGGGTTGCAGTTTGGGCACTCGATCTCTAAAAGGTTTGCCATCACTGTACTAAGTCATCTGCGTATGCTTGTAACTTATATTCTTCCCTCTTAATTTTCATACCTTTTATGTCATTATTCTGTCTTATACTTCTGTTTAATACTTCTAATGTCAAGACAAACAATAGTGGAGATAGAGGACATCCCTGTCTTGTTCCCTTCATAATATTGATCTTCTCAGTCAGATCTCCATTTATCATTACTTTGGCTGATTGCTTATTATAAATTGTTTTGATTACATTTATAAATTTCTCCCCAAAATCCATAGTCTGTAATTGGCTTATCATGAATTGCCAGTTTACATTGTCAAATGCTTTCTGTGCATCCAGGAACATCAATGCCATGTTTTTCGGGGTGTGTTTCATAGTATTCTAGTGTGTTCAATACCATTCGCATATTGTCTCTAATCTGTCTTTTAAGTAAAAAACCATTTTGATCCGACTGTATAAATTCATTTAAAAACTTTTTAAGTCTTTCCGCCATTATTGATGCAAATATTTTATAGCCCACATTCAATAGGGAAATCGGCCTGTAGTTCTTTATTTTCTGCATTTCCGTTTCTTCCTTTGGTATCAGGTAATAAGTGCTTCGGACCACGAATCTGGTATCTTAGCTTCAGAAAGAAGTTCATTATAAAGTTCCAACATTACATTGCCTAGTGCTTCCTGCAATGTCTTGTACAACTCTGCTGGTAATCCATCCGGTCCTGGTGTTTTACCATTTTTTTGTCTTTTAATTGCTTCTATTAATTCCATCATTGTTATTTTCCCTTCTAATAACTTTTTAAATTTCTCCGGTATTTTAGGTATCTCTGTTTCTTCCAAGAATTGTTTTATCCTATCATCTGGAACTGTTTGTTGCTTATATAAGTTCTCATAATATTCCCAAGTTATTTTTTTCTTTTCTTCATTCTGATGTTGTAAAATCCCCTCAGCATCTTCCAGTTGTTTAATCCATCTCTTCTCTTTCTCTTTTTTAATTTTATATGTCAACCATCTCCCTGGTTTGTTTGCATATTCAAAAAAGGTTTGCTTGGCTGCCTTTATTTTCATTGCCACTTCTTCATTTTCTATTAAGTTCATTTTATGTTTGTTCATCTCCATTAATTTTTTAATC